GGTTAGCCGTGAAGAGGTCTTGTCTAAGATTGACAAGACTTACAGAGTGAATTCTTGGGTAGCAAGGCAAAGGCAATTGCCAAGAGATGTAGTGATATACTTTACAGACAGAAGAATAAGAAATGACATCTTGCAAGTCTTTTGTTTCTACCTTACAAGTGGATGGAAGGGAGATTGGGATTTACAAAGAGGATTTTGCATTCTTGATGACTGAACTAAAGAAACAACAAATTCCATTCAGATGGGATGCTCCAGTTGGTATAATATTGAGGTATCAAGGAGAAAGATATCGATTAAATACTGTCCAAAAAGCGGAAGAATTTTATCTCAATGTTTTTAAAACTGGTCCAGCATCTCCACGTACATCTTTGGTGTTAATACAGGAGGGTGACAAAGAAAAGCAAAATGAACAAGAGATTGAAGTCCAGTGGAAGCAGATGGAGACGGAGGCAATGGACATACAAGGAGCTACAAGGGGCTCTTTGGATGAGTCGTTCCCGGATCTTCCTTTAAAAGTTAAAGGTGAATCACCTAAAAATACAAGAGAAGTGGCTTTGGATCTTGATCTGATGTCTTACAAAGTTAAAGATCAGCGTATAACCCAATCAGTCTACAAACAAATTCCAGAAAAACAACAACAGCAGAGGTCTAAGCCAGCACAAGGCAAGAAAAGAAGCAGGTTTTACAAAACTAAAAAATTTTAGAATATTTCTTTTGAAGATGGATTATAAAAATTTTTTTTTTTGCAAAACTATTAGCCAACAGACTATTGCCAGTTATCTAAGAGTTGATTCATGATTAAGCAGGATTTATAGAAGACAGACACATGAAAAATAATGTGAGGCAAATTATAGATTTATTGGACTATCTTGAGAAGAATAAACAGATCCCTGCAGTGCTGGTGTTTTAGGTTGCGGAGAAGGCCTGTAAGCGAGTGACTTGGAACTTTCTATTACAGACTTTAAGAAAAATGGATTATGAGTACGTTGAAGGAAATAGCTATGAGGCAAGAGGATTATGGAGTAAAGGCACTTGCAGTTGATCTGGTTGTGACCCTAACATGGTCGATGGAACTAATAATCTAGATGAAAGACTTTACAGAAGATATTATATGGAATATAAATATAAATATAAAGTCACTCGGGGGGGGGTTGTAAATAGAAGTACTCTTCAATGATGGGAGCAGATGGCAACTAAAGACATTAAACACACTGTTGGACGAAGGATTTGATGTAATTGTTTAGATGTCACAAATTATTATATATGCTGCGGGAAAGTGGATGAAACAAAATTGATGTGGTATATGGTGATAGGCGAGATTACTGATTGTTCAATATTGGAAAAGGGATGTTATGTTTATTATAGAAGAATGGATTCTGAAAGTGGCCAGTTTTGTAGAAAAGGCGAAGATATTAGCATACATTAAAGACTGGACCCAAGAGATTTATGTATGGGAGTAGAGGAAATGGATAGATTATGTGCAGAATAAATATTAAATTAGGAAGTATTAAATAACTTTTAGTTGAATGTTGTGTAGAAATGTATAGTATATAGGGGAAAGAATACTAAAATGTCAGGATGAAATGTATATTACACAGGGGGTAGAGTAGATGGGCGGTAAAGTATTATATAATGCGATTTGGATTTGGATTTCACCCTGGGGAAGCCATGGGGGGAGGGGAGGGTAAGGGAGCGTTAGGGAGGGAAAGGGGGGGGAAAGGGGGAAAATTTGTATTGTAAAACTTTTTCAATAAAAAAAAAAGTTTCTGAACTCTCTTGAATTTTCAATATTTCTGCATATACAGTGTATGACCTAAAACATGACTTGTTCAAGTTGTAAAACTTGATATTCATACTGAGGGATGTTGGTGGGCTTCCTTGCATAAACTGCTCACTTTATGTCCTTTCATAAAATTCCTTTAGGATTCAGGTCAGGACTTTGACTTGCCAATCCAAAACGTTAACTTTCTTCCACTTTAATCATGTGGTTATGCAATTTGGGATTACTATCTTGCTGCATGACCCATTTATTTTCTCTTGAGCTTCAGTGCAGGGATAAATACCCTGACATTTTATTGTGGAATTTAGTGTTACAATTCAGAACTCATAGTTACATCAATGAAGGTACGCTATCTTTGTCCAGAAGGACAGAGCAAGCCCAAACCATGATATTGCCGCTGTCAATTTTTGCTGAGGGAATAAAGTTCTTAAACTGAAATGCAATGTTTTGCTTTTTGTGAAGTGGAACACTTTTCATTCAAGCTGAAAAGTTCTATTATGATCTCATCAATCGACAGAACATCCTTCCATAAAATTCTGGCTTATCTATGTGGTCTTTCACAAACAGTAGATAGGCAGCAATGTCCTTTTTGGGGAGAAATGTCTTTCTCCTTGCAACCCTGCAAGAGTTGCTGTTCAATGTTTTTGATAGTGGGGTCATGAACACTGGCATTCACCAATGCAAGAAAGGCTTTTAGCCTTAGACATTATCCCGGAATTCTTTAAGATTCCTAGAGTATTTCACCCCTGGCTTTTTGGTGTGATCTTGGTTGCTCAGCCACTCCAATTCAACAACAGTGTTGAATTGCCTCCTTTTGTTAAGTGGAGTTTGGTAGAGTCTAATCTCTTTGGAAATAGTTTTGTAGCCTTTTCCAGAACATCAGCGTCTGTTTTTTGGAGGCCCTCAGAAATCTCCTTGTTTGAGCCACAACACATTTCCACATACCAGGGTTGTACAGATCAGACTTTGATAGTAAATAACCAAAATTATGTTCTGTAAATAATGCAGGATCTCCCACACTAAATCTGAAAAACTTTACTCTAATTTCAAACTTTCAAATAAACTAATAATCCTACAGGTTCACATATGTTTGCCATACACAAATATGTAACACTGGATTATTTTCCTCAAATAAATAAGGAAATATAATGCTTTTTTGTCATTTGTTTAATCAAGTATTTTTAATCTAGTTTTAGGACTTGATCCGAGAACAGATCATGCTTTAGGGTTCTATTTATACAGAAATACTGAAAATTCAAAAAGGTTCCCAAAATTTTTAAGGAACTCTATGGATATTTTCCTTACCATACAGTTCTAAGTTTGTATACTTTCCCCCCAGGTATAGGCTTTGAGGCTTCCTGCAAATTGACAGTACCCATTATGCTTTTCTGGGATGGTAACAATTCTGCAGAACAATGCTTGTCACCTTGTTACGATCATGTCTACTTTCAATGCAGGTAGAACAAAGTTGGCAAGAGATTGTTGCAAATCAACGAAATGTTCCAAAGGAATTTAAATGTTGTAAACAATAATTTGGAAAATTATTGGTTCAACAACAATAAATAGTAAAATTTCTGAGATTTATTGTGGACAATTATTTTAGTTAGTTGGGACATTTGCCAGATGTGTTTAGATTAATTTGTCATTTTTGATTCTTCCCTTTCCATCACCTTTGTTACCCAAATACAGTAAATAAAAAAACAGTGCCATTTCACTAGCTGAAATGTACTTGTACCCTGTTTCCCCCAAAATAAGACATACTCTGATAATAAGCCAATCGGGCTTTTGAGTGCATGGCAATAAGGCCAAGGGCTTATTTCAGGGTTCAAGAAAATATAAGACAGGGTCTTATTTTCGGGAAAACACGGTAGAAATTCTGCAACAAACTGGAGTTTACTTGCAGACAGCCATGGGTGTGTTCATAGATCTGTTTTTCTACAGTGCTTTGGCTCTTATTGGTGCTGTATTCATCCTTTCCATGTGTCTCCTAATTCTGTGGGTTGTTTAAAAAACATTTCATTGTGTTGATTTGTACATTCTTGCAACCTATGAAACTCATTTTTCTTTTCGTGGGCTCTATAAATTGTTGTCAAATATTAGTTCCTAGTAGCCTCAGGAAGAACATGCTAGATGTTCATCTGATCATGTATCTAGTGCAGTTTGAGTTTATTTAGATTTATATACCGCCCTACTCCCGAAGGACTCAGGGCGGTGAACAGCCAAAGATAAAACAGATACAATATAAAATTTAAAAAACAATTTAAAAACATATTAAATAAATTTGGCCCAAACTAATTAAAACACCTCTGTTTTTAAAAACCAATTAAAATTAAAATTAAACAATTAAAAAGAGTTAGGCCAGCCCCGCTTGTTGGAATAAAAAAGTCTTGAGGGCATGGTGGAAAGTGCGTAAATCCGGGATCCTCCGTATCTCCGGGGGGAGCTTGTTCCAAAGGGCAGGTGCCCCCACAGAGAAGGCTTTCCCCCTGGGGGCCGCCAGTCAACACTGTTTGGCCGACGGCACCCTGAGGAGCCCCTCTCTGTGGGAGCGTACTGGCCAGTGAGAGGCTACCGGTGGTAGAAGGCGGTCTCGTAAGTACCCAGTCCTAATGCAGTGATGCAAACCTATGACATGTGTCATTGGTGATGCGACATTAGATTTTTGGTGACACACCATGCCTCTGGACCCTCTGGAAGTTAGAAGAAGGACTGGCTCTCGTGCAGCCTTTGAGAAAATCACATCAGCATTCTTGCACAATTTTCTGAGGTTCCAGAGGTTCCAGAGGTCCCAGGAGAGCAGAGCCCTCTCATGCAACTTCTAGAAGGTCCAGAGAGGCTGAAACTTCCTGCCAACAAATAAGGAAGAAAAGTACAGATGTTATTTATGGATCACATACTGAGTTTCTACAATATCTTGTTCACAGTTCACTATCTTTCTTATAGTTTTTTCCCACTTGCCATTCTTCTCTTGTTTTTCTCATGTGATTTAAGGTGTTCAGAAACCAATATTGACAGCATAAATGGTAATAAAAACTTTTTTGTTGGAAACAAGACAAAGTACAGCTGTCAGAATTAAAATTATGACCATCCGTTATGGCTTGTTGATTCCTGCCTCTAAAGATATTTGTAGAAAATGTGGGACATTGAGGTCAGTAACGCGTGAAGACTAAGCGTTGGCTTGGATTAGCGTCTCATGTGGGTTTTTCTTTTCTTTTTTTAGAATTGACATCAGACTGGACCAAGAAGATCCCACCTATTTTTAACAAAGTAGTTATAGTATTGATTGATGCCTTGAGAGATGACTTTGTTTTTGGTTCAAAAGGTTTAAAATTCATGCCCTATACAACAGAGCTGGTGGAAAAAGGAACAACACAAGTTTTTATCTCAGAAGCCAAGGCGCCTACCGTCACTATGCCTCGAATTAAAGTAAGTTCTGATACTTTGGAAATAAATATTTCTTGACAAGTGACAGTTGTCTTCTATTAAATCTATACATTGTACATTTCATAAAGCAGTACACTTAATGCTTACTGCAGAAATATGTTCTTTTTTGACAACGTGAGTTTTTCCTCAGAATGTGATGGTACATTCTGCTATGATGTTTGAGGTGAGTAAAACAGTGGGAAAAAAAAATTCACCAGCTTCCTGGAGTACTCAAGTTACCCCTTACTAAGGGCATTACATTCAGTACCATAGTCCTGAACTCAATACTTGTAGTCCTGCCACCTATACAGGTAGTCCTTGACCACAATTGAGCCCAACATTTCTGTTGTTAAGTGAGAAATTTGTTAAGTGAGTTTTGCCTCATTTTACAACCTTTCTTGTCACAGTTGTTAAATGAATCATCGCAATAACCCGGTTGTTAAGTGAGTATGGCTTCCCCATTGACTTTGCTTGCCAGAAGGTTGCAAAAGGTGACCACATGACCTTGGGATAGAACAATGGTCATAAGTATGAACCAGTTGCCAAGCATCTGAATTTTGATCACATGATCATGGGGATGTTACAAAGGTCATAACTGTGAAAAACGGTCATAAGTCACTTTTTTCAGTGCTGTTGTAACTTTGAACAATCACTGAATGAGCTGTTGTAAGTTGAGGACTATGTGTACTGAATTATGGGTAGCCATTTGCTTAAAGGCATTGACTATCTGCAATATATATACATGCAGAAGTGAGTCCTTATCCAGTGTCAGATTTTAGGTTCTACTTAAACTTCATCTAATGCTTGATCCATCTCTCCTTTCCTTTTGGTGGATCCCTTTGCAGGCACTTATGACTGGTAGCATCCCAGGTTTCGTTGATGTAATCATGAACCTTAACTCTCCAGCCTTGATGGAAGACAACTTAATATGGCAGGCCAAAATTGCTGGGAAAAGAATAATTTTCTATGGTGATGATACCTGGGTTAAGCTGTTTCCAAAGCATTTTGTTGAATATGATGGGACAACATCGTTTTTTGTCTCAGACTACACTGAGGTAAATCACCGTCTGGGAGTGGCTGTAAGAATATATATGTGTGTTTCTGTCCATATAACTACTGGTGCAAATTTTTTTTTTGCATATATTATATGCTGCTCAGATGTATGTATTTTTATAAAATGTCACACTTATTGGTTATTTTCAGAACCATTACTTTTTTCTTTACTTTACAAAATGTTCATCTCACCTAGTTACCTAAATTATACAGGTTACATAAAATATATGTCTTTTTAAAAATCCTTCTCATGTCTCAGGTTTTTTAAATTGTCACAGTAATAAACCACTATCTCCCTACCAACATAAACTCTAAATTAGAGATTAGCAATAGAGTGCCAAACAGCATGGTTAATAGCCTTAGAATGTTGGACCCATGTTATCTTATCAATTTTGAGAATTTAATACTTAACTACTTAGAACAAACCAAAGAGAAAAAATTTATAGGATATTATTGCAGATGGAAATAGGCAGGCGTGAAATCCAGCAGGTTCTGACAGGTTCTAGAGAACCGGTAGCGGAAATTTCGAGTAGTTCGGCGAACTGGTAGCGGAAACTTTGAGTAGTTCAGAAAACCGGCAAATGCCACCTCTGGCTGGCCCCGAAGTGGGGTGGAAATGGAGATTTTGCAGTATCCTTCCCCTGCCACGCCCACCAAGCCACACCCACCAAGCCACACCACGCCAACCAAACCATGCCCACAGAACTGGTAGTAAAAAAATTTGGATTTCACCAGTGGAAATAGGGCATTCACCCCATGCTTTAAAGGAAGTTTATGAACCTGTTCTTGGTATGTTCTCCCCCTATATGGTAGATACATTGATAGAAATTATTCAAAGTGAGTAGATTCACCTGAGCCTCAGTGTAAGTATCAAGGCTCCGACTAAGGAACCCAAGCAAATCAGGACTCCAAGGTTAGGGTCTGCCTCAAAGAACTTCTTTATTGGGTACATTTAAGAGTGCCAATATGATGTACCCAATAAAGAAGTTCTTTGTGGGAGATCCTAGCCTTGGAGTCCTGATTTGCTTCCTTAGTCGGAGCCTTGACAGTAAGAACTGCAGAGGAAGATTATGTATCACTGGCCCTTGACTTCAGTTAGATTGTCACATATATATATCAAAATTATTCTTCCAAATCAGTGGTGGGTTGCTCCCGGTTTGCACCGGTTCACAAGAACCGGTAGTAAAAATTCATAGTAGTTCAGAGAACCGGTAATAACATTGGCTGGCCACATCCCCGAACCAGTCCCCGGCCTGGTCGCCGCTCACTTACCCCGCCCACCTCATCAGAGGCTTTTAAAAAAAAAAAAATTAAAAGCATTTTTTCTATAACCTCTTCAGCTGAGAGGTTGTAGAAAAAAAAATGCCTTTAAAAGCCTCTGGCGATCCCAGCTGAGTTGCCTGATCGTCAGAGGCTTCTAAAAGCATTTTTTTCTGCAACCTTTTAAGGTTGTAGAAACAATGCTTTTAAAAGTAAAAAAAAAAAAAAGTTGGCCACGCCCACCCAGTCACATTACCCCCCACCAAGCCATGCCCACAAAATAAGCCATGCCCACAGAACCTGTAGTAAAATATTTTAGAACCTACTCCTGTTCCAAATGTTAGAAGTGTAGAAAAAAAAGTTATTTTTTTTATTAGTGATGGTAATGCAATAAAGCTGTTCACTGTGGATGTAAAATTTTTAAGGAGATAAGTATCACTGAACAAAGAATTGAATGCTCCCAGGGTAAGGCTTACTCATTTATTTATTTACAGGACCAAACTTCAAGCTTAAAAAATAAGCTTAGTTTTTATCTGATTTTAGCAACTAAGATAATAATTGCCCAATATTGGCAAATTTAATAGATGATTTAGATGACTTAATACTGTAATTGTGATGAGATTAACAAGATCTGTTCAATTGCTACATTAGAAACAAAATTATAGAGTCAAAATAATGAAACATAGGGGGCATGTATCCAAGTTAGCATATAATACCATGAGGATTAATATCCTAAACTCATAGGTTGTAGATTGTGTTCTGATTTCGGAGAATTGGAACCTTCAAGAATGATAATTGAAAGGCAACATATTGAATGGTATGCAGTGTAGCATATCTGAGAAATATTCAGCTTAGCCGTCTCTCTGAACTTGCTTCCTTAATGTTTTAGGAAGCTTTGAGCTAAACAGGATATCATTACATTGTACACACTCCTTTCCATCAGATGGTTATTTTTAGAAGAGCTGTTAATTAATTCTGCATACCATATGAGCAAAATAGGTGATGGCTTAATATATATCTGCTTTTCTTTTTCACTAAGGTTGACAACAATGTTACTAGACATTTGAATAATGTATTGAGAAGAGAAGACTGGGATATGCTCATTCTTCACTATTTAGGATTGGATCATATTGGTCATCTGAGTGGACCAAACAGTCCTTTGATAGGACCAAAGCTTTCTGAAATGGATAACATTATCTCGAAGATTCATAAGTCTCTGCTGTCCAAGGTGAGATGCTTAAGTTTTGAAGATGCATTTGATCAGGAAAACAGGAAGAAGATTTGAAGTATCCCACTTCAATCTACAGATACATTTTATCTTACAGACTGACCAAGTAAATGATCAATTGAGACCAAGTCTCATTGTGTTCATTGGGGCACATTTCCAATTTTTAGTCCCAGGCACTTGGAATTGTCAACTAAGTGAAATGCATTGATATTGGGGTTTTTAATACCATTGGCCATAAGATGCACAGGAGATGGAAACAAATGTTATTTCAATCTCCTAAATGTTCTGTTGGATCATTGCACGTTGGCTTTATTTCAGCACAGAACAAAATTGGTAACGACTTGAATGTTTCATTTTTAACCTGGTAAAAAATTGAAATGTAGGAAACTTTGGGGACCTGATAGGCCTGTGATGGCGAACCTATGGCACATGTGCCACAGGTGGCACGCGTAGCCATATCAGTGGGTGCCGGCCAGCTGATTTTCAGGCCTTCTGGGCCCACCAGAGGTAGGGAAAGAGGCTGTTTCCTGTCTCTGGAGGGCCTGGGGGGGGGTTGGGGAAGGCCCGTTTTTCTCTTTCCCCAGGCTCCAGAGCCTTTCTAGGAACCTGGGGAGGGTGAAAATGGCCTTCACCCCCCTTCCCCCCGGAGGGCCTCCGGAGGCCGGTGGGACCAGAAATTGGCAAACAGACCATTTTCGGCCTCCAGAGGGCCTCTGAGGGGTGGGGATGGCCGTTTTCACTCTCTCCAGTTCCTAGAAAGGCTCTGGAGCCTGGGGAGAGCAAAAAATGGGCCTTCCGGTCCTACTGGAAGTTTGCAAATGGACCGTTTTTGGCCTCCGGAGGGCCTCCAGGGGGGTGGGGAAAGCCGTTTTCATTCTCCCCAGACTCCTAGAAAGGCTCTGGAGCCTGGGGAGAGAGAAAAACGGGCCTACCGGGCCGACCAGGCCATCACGTACTGGGAGCAGGGAGGGGGTCGTGCGCGCATGTGCGGGGCATGGCACATGGAATTATGGGTGTGAGCAGGTGCGCGCGACCCCCCCTGTGCGACCCCCCCGGCACACGATGGCAAAAAGGGTAGCCATCACTATGATAGGCTCTTAAGTTTTGTATTGATGTAATGCATAAACAGATTTCTGAATGCATATTTGCATGTAGGAACTTGATATATTTGCGATGCATTATGCTTAGCCAGCTTAAAGGTTATGAAAGTACTAGCCAGGTAGGATCCCGTTTCTTATTGAAATAAATGGTGCTGTGAGAAATCCTAATAATATATTCCTAACAAGGATTGGGAGAGGTTGTTGCTGCGATATCTTTTACCAGTTTACTTGGGTGTGTGGCAATTGTTCTTGAGAATCCTAATCTTTTTGGCTCAAATCTGCGAGGCGAGGGAACAGATTTGATAGTGAAATATTAAACTATTCCATTAAAACTTTGAAAATTGCTTCTGTTTCAGGAACTGGAGAAAGGAACATTGCCCAATTTACTTGTTGTTTGTGGTGACCATGGCATGTCGGAAACAGGAAATCATGGTGGTTCCTCAGAAAGTGAAATTCGTACCCCTTTGCTTTTTGTCAGCTCTGCTTTTCAAAGAACAGGTGGTAAGAACTGACTTTCTCTCTTAATAACATGATGGGTTGAATAAAGAAATGTCTGGCTGCACTATTTCAGATTGCAAGGGTGGTGGTAGTTTACATGGCAGAATCTTCCATAACTCCATGAAAATCCATTTTCTCGTTTTTGTTTTTTGTTTAAAAACCAATCCTAAATGTTGGAGAGACATTTATCTCAAAAGCCTTGTCCCTTTTCTGTGGTGGGTTTTTTTAAAAAAATTCAATTTTCTATGTAGTCCCAAATAATCAGAAATACTACGTTCCAGAAACAAGTTGTGTGGTGAAAATTTGGCCTGAGGTATTTTTATCTGGAGAAATTGTAAGTGTCTTAATGTATCTGCTAAATGGGCTCTTAATAACTCCAGAAGCAATCAGTATATTAATATTTTAATGCAAAGCGGACTTGCCTGTTTTTATGGCTAAAGCAGAAAGTAGTGTCAAAAGAATAGCACACCATTCAGTGACATTATTAAAGCTAAGTGAGTCAGTTCTTTCTCAAAAGAATTGGAACACAGAAATATATATTCAAATGTTTTAAAAGAAATACGCATCCTGGATACCTTCTGGGTTCCCAGTAGCCCCCTGCTTATGTCATCAATTCAATTACTTAGAAACAGTAGTAACTTTTGAAATTTACGTGAAGTAGCATAAAAGTGGCAAGGGAGAGTTTGAATTTCACCGTACTTGAGGTCCTGTGAGTATTTGCTGAATCATCCTGTGGGGGGAAAAAAAAACAATGAGGAGAAACAGCTGTTACTTTGGATGCAGTACAGACAGGAGAAAAATGCTTATGGTACAACATTTCTTCTGGTCAAGAAATTATCTTTTGGGTTTGGAAGAAGCACCGACTCAAATGGGATTATAAAATACCGCTATGGCTGGATCTTGGTCATACCTTGTGGAATACAAATATAATGTCACTCGGGGGGTTTTTATACAAAGAGGTTCTTTTTACAGATGCGGGCAGATGGCAGTTGAAGACATTGCAGACACTGTTGGACGAAGGGATTAATTTAACCTGGTTACAATATAATCAATTACAATTGAGATGGAAAGAGGACCAAAAAACTGGTATTATGTTGCATGAGGAAGAATTGGTTAGACATATAAGAGAGAAAGGTCCAATGCATATTAAAAGGCTTTACAATGTTTTGCTAGAAAGGGATTCAGAAACGGAATTAGTTAAAGATTGTATGATTAAGTGGGCACAAAATTTTGAAGAACCAGTGATGTTGGAAACATGGGAAAAAATTTGGGTTCAGAATGTTAAATTTACACAGTCGCAGAATTTGAGGGAAAATTTTTATAAAATGTTTTATAGATGGCATCTAGATCCTAAAAAGCTGTCATGTATGTACCCTAATGTTCAGCCAAAATGTTGGAGATGTGAATGTTTGGATGCTACGTATTATCATGTTTGGTGGACCTGTAGGAAAGTTAAGGCTTTTTGGATAAAAATATGGTGGGTCATGCAGAATGTTTTGAAGAAAAAAATTCAATTTTCTCCACAATTGTTTTTATTGGGCATAGTTAAGGGTTTTACACGGGATGAAACAAAATTAATATTGTATATGATAACAGCAGCAAGATTGTTGATAGGTAAATATTGGAAGAATGAAGCCTTGCCTACTATCGAGGAATGGACTTCGAAGATGGCTAGCTTTGCAGAGATGGCGAAGATTTCAGCATATTTAAAAGATTGTTCACAAGAGACTTATGAATGGGAATGGAAAAGGTGGATAGAATATGTTCAGAACAAATACCAAATTAGAAAGTATCAAATAGCTTTTATTTGAAAACAATGTATTAGAAATATTTTAATATAAAGAGACAAAGAGGGAAAATTATGTAGGGGGAGGGATGGGTTCAGGTATATATATCAGTGTTATTAGTTATGAGTACATAATAGGGAAGTCTGGGGGGGGGAGGGTTAGGGAGGGTTAGGGAGGACGGGAAGTTTGGGGAGGGAGGTGGGGGGGTGAAAAAAAAGGGGTGAAAATGTAATTGTAAAACTTTTGCAATAAAAAAAAAAAAAAAGAAATTATCTTTTGGGGAATGAGGAATAGATAAGCTTTAATCAATATTTTCTTCCTCTCTTTAGGTCCCCGAAAATATCCAGAACTTATCCAACAGACTGATCTGGCTGTCACCTTAGCATTAGGACTTGGCTTGCCGATTTCAAGAAACAGCGTTGGGAAGCTTCTGTCCCCTGTAATAGAGTGGAAGACAGCTAGAGAACAGCTACGGCTGTTGCATTTGAATGGTTTCCAACTCAGTAGACTTCTTCAAGAGAATGTCCCTACGTATGAGAAAGGCAAGTAAGTTCAATATGTTCTGGTAATTAGGATGTTTTTATTTTCTCCCATGAACAATCATATATTACGGTATGAAGAAAGAAAGTAACATTCTGAAAATTAACAAGCAGCTTGCTTATAAGTGAATGAAAGGAAAAGAAAAACAAAAGTAAGAATTGGCTTTATAGCTAATTAGATGTTTATGTCAATTATCAGTGAAACCTTTTAAGTCATGCTTCTAGGATAAGACGGCACACTGAAGATATGTCTTATATCGGTAATGTAAATCTGAAGGTATAACATTATTTACACATTTATCATAATTTTAAAAAACTGAAATTCAGCTTGGATGTAAAAACCTCCTGTCAACGTTAGTCATAAATAGAGTGGGCATGTAGTTAACGTGTCTTCCTTATGAAAAGCGACTTTGTTTTCAAGTTACGTGAAGCTGTCATGTTTAGTTGCAAGAGTGTGAACGCACCCAGTGTGACTCAGGTTTACAATATGGCATCCCTAAGCGGTAGCCAGGAAATTGTAGTATAAAAATAAACAAAAAGAAAAAAAAAGGAATAAAAAAAGAAAAAATGTAAAATGATTGCCTCCTGCCCTTCTTTATAGTGAGTAATTATCCTCTTAACCAGCGGCCCCCACCTTTTGGGCACCAGGGACTGGTTCTATGGAGAAAGGTTTTTCCATGGATGAGGGGGGAGGGGGGGAGGGGGTGTGGTTTTGCATGTTGCCTGCTTCTAGTGCATGGGGCTTTGCTTGTTGGATTTGCCCCCAATACTGTTTTGCTTTTTCTTAGTATTTAGTATGTCCTTTGTCACACACAATTATGCAGTATAGTTAGTCCCCATTTAATGTTGAACAGTTATTCAATAACTGTTCATCATTCAGCAGTGTTGGAACAAGGAGATTTATGATGCTGTAAGCCATCATGTCTTTGAGATCACATAATTACAATCAGATGCTTGTTTATGCCTCACAGTTATGACATTGCAATGTCTCGCAATTATGTAATTGCTGTTTGCAACCTTCAGTTCTGGCTTTCGACAAAGAAAGCCAGTGAGTTAGCCAGCAAAAGATTGCAAATGGTGATCTCATGATAATGGGACACTGTGAACATGCAGGATTCACCTAAGCAAGGCAACTGAAATTGCTGAAATCATTCTAACGGGAACACATTGCTTAGTGATGGAGTACCCAGTCCCAATTATCATTGGTAAGTAAAGACTACCTGAATAAGTATTTGGAGCCGTGGGTGATCTAGTCCACTGTTGTTCATTCTACTAGCCATACATTGAGAAAAATAACTGATTAAACATTACGGGGAAAGCTTTAGTTTAAACTCTATATTAAAATACAATGTTCTATCTGCATTTTCATCTCTTATTATTAGATCCTGGATTTGAAATGTTTACGAAGGCAGAAAAAGCTCATGGAAATTGGATTCAATACTATGTGAACAACAGTAATACACAAGTTGTCATAAATTTGAGCAAAAAAATCATAAAACAATATTTGGAAGCTCTCAAGATCCTGAGCTCTTCTTTAAGCAAGCAAGTGGCCCAGTATGACATATATTCAATGATAATAGGAACCATGATTGTTATGGAGGTATGGACTGATTTTTTTACTTACTTACTTACTTGTTTATTTATTTATTGGTTTTAAAAGCCACACAACTCCCTGAGTTTCTGAATGGCTTCCATATCCAAAGATAGGAAAGAGTAAAATGAAAGAAAAAAAAGGAGTATTGGAACAAAGAACCAGCGTCTCAAAAGAAAACTAACATGATTGCCAGCCATCATAATCCCAGGCCTGGAAGCAGAGCCAGTTTTTCAGAGATTTGCAGAAGAGCTGGAGGATGAGAATTGTATGTGGGGATGATAACCAAGCCTTACTTTGATAAAGCAGCACATTTGACCTGTTAGTTAATTTGCATAGTTCTGTAGTGTTTATACTTGGTGGATGCTCTGAGCCAAACCTAATTCGACACAAGGCTTTCTGATTAGATTTAGGGTGGGACATTTTATCCAGATTCCCAAAAGTTGTTGTAGATAACTTTTTGTCTGTGAACTTGGCAAGGAATCATTGTGTGGTGTGAGTTACTCTCTGCAACAAAAAACCTGGTAAAGAATAGAAATTATCAGATGGTCTTATGATTACTTTTACAGTAACTGGTCTCCTCTCTCCTTTTTATCTTTTTATCTTCATTTTTCTCCTTTCTTCCTCCCTTCTTGAGTCATTTTCCCCTCTTAAGGAACCCTCATACAAACAAGCATAAACTTTACTTAGAGTTCAAACAGTACCAGGGTTCACAAGGAGGTATGAGAAAAGACATCATTCTATATAATCATACCAGGAGACAGAGAGAGAGAGAAAGGAACAGTAACAGGGACCACAAAAAGGGCAAGGTTCAGTTTCCAGAACCTCACAGTCACCAAAGGACAAAGTACTAGCTACCACAATTGACCTGTCCATGTAGATGAGGGGTGTGAAACTCAATTTCATTGAAGGCTGCATCAGGGTTGTGTTTGACCTTGTGGACCAGGGTGGGTGTGGCCAGGGTGGGGGAGCCACTTGTGTCAGAGTGCTTGTGGTAGGCTGAGCGCTCTGCCAGTGAAAACAGGCTCCCAAGCTCTGGTCTCGCTGGCAGAGGCACTGGGGGCCGTTCCTTCGCTGTTTCCAGGGCAGCCCCGTGGGCCAGATCTATAAGCACTCTGGGGGCCAGATAACCCACAATTTAAAACAGTTCATTTAATGACCATCCAGCACCATTGAAAAAGAAGTGACGTATGACCATTTTTCATACCTAAGGGTGTTACTACATCTTCATGATCATGCAATCAAAATTCAGATGCTTGGCAAGTGACTCATATTTATGATGGTTGTGGTGACCTGGGGCCCTGTGATCCCCTTTTGCAACCTTCTGACAAGTAAAGTCAATGGGGAGGCCAGACTCACTTAACAAACTTGTTATTAACTTAACAAGTGCTGTGATTCACTTAACAACTGTGGCAGGAAAGGTTGTAAAATGGGGCAAAATTCACTTAAATGACTGTTTCACTTAGCAACAGAAATCTTGGGCTGAATTGTGGCCGTAAGTCGAGGGCTACCTGTATTTGCTTGTTGCAAGGTGTTACAGAGGTATGTAAAAAACTTGACAATACACAGTGTTACATGTTAATGGGTCTGCTTGATTTGCTGGATGGTTAGAGAAATGACTGAGTCAGGCTGCACCCTAGCTGTAATATGAGATAGTGTGTAATTTCTGCCTCTTGTTGGGTTGTAGACTAGATTTTGACTGTGTTTCTCTTTGTCCCCCACATAGGTGCTGTTCTTACTCTTACTGAGCCTTCCAAAAGCCCTGAGCAGCAGAGCTAAATTTGAGATGCCAAACTCATCTTTCTATTCTCTGATGTTCTACTTGATGTGCCTTTTATGGAGTGCCATTCATGTAGTTGTGTGCACCTCCACGGAAAGCTTATGCTATTTTTGCAGAATTCCCTGGATTATGGCAACTGGAATTATCATGCTGACTTCGGGGCTTTTTTGGGTCATAATTTCCTTTCTGGAAATGCGGGTTATAAATTCAAGACAACCATTGAAGGTAAAAAAAAATACTGGAATGTAATATATAATTTCTTACCAGTTGCTCATTTATATTTCCAGGGAGGATCTACACACTATTCCTTTTTCCTTGTGCCATTTTGCCTGCTGTCATTCACAGTATCTTTTTCAATGTTCCCTTACTCTTTTATAAAGGAGAAAACAGGCACTTTTTCTCTCACGAAGCTGGAGAAAGTTTGAACAGGGCAAAGTCTAAGTCACATTTTTCCTGCTTCCCTGGTTTTCAGTTTCCCAACAGTTTCTCCTTGCTGCTCTTTTAAGCCTTATGAGAGTGGCCAATTATCTTCTGGCCTTACTCCCGAGTCGGAGTAAGGCTTCAGCTGCTCTTGCCTTCTGGCAGCTCTTTGCATGCGTGCACTAGGAACAGGCTTCTCCTGTTTCTCTGCTGTCCGCCTCTGGAGGCTCCGGAGTCCATGCAATGCTTCTAGACGGCCCTGGCCCCATCTCTGCCTCAGATGCAGAGCTCTCGTCTGGGCCTTCCCCTGACTGGCCCATTGTCCTCCCCAGCCTCCTCACTGTCTGACCGCACTGCAGGCTGCTGGCGGACCACAACAGATCAAACAATACGTATATAGATTTAAGTTGATTTAAATTTAAGTAGATTTAAGTCCAGTTTAAGTTGTTGCAGAATCATAAGGAGTTCGGCTTCTTTCTAAATTGTGGGAAAAGTAACTCCTGGCAAACGGTACCAATTAGAATATTAATATTGAGCCATACAATCTAATGTAATCACCTTTTTCCTTAAAAAATATTTTTGTACATAATCCTTATGTTATGTGACCTCATCAGTCAACTTGCAATTGTGGATAGTAGGCATTCTTTCTTGCTAGTGAAATGTTAATTGCCATGTATACATTTAAAATAAAAACAGCCAAGGCTTTCTCTGGAATTGAAATCTGAGCTGAATTATACCTTGATTCCTCTATAATCTGTGACCCTTCATGTTTATTAATTAATGTATAATAGAATACCTGCATATCCTGCATAAAATGTCAATCCCACTTACAGACTCAATAATAGAACTGTTTTAGTAATCATACTCCTATTTTTGCTCAAGGAAAGATCTCCTCAGCCATCTTGCAGATTTGATTGGCAGGTTGCTACAAAAACAAGCAAAGCCAAGTGTGTCCAATTGATCACATTGATTTTGAACTGTTTGTGCTCTTCTTGATTTTCCTATCATGGCATACTATATGCAACGTAGTATAGTAGAACAGAACTACTGAAATCAATTGTGAATTAATTCCTCACTAAATTACTCTTATTTTAATGAGCTGCTTCATTTAATGGGCTTGCTGTTAATATGATTTGTGTGAATCCAATCCCAGTAATGTTGCAAACATTATTATGGAATTTCCTACAACTTCTGTATCTCTCAGAATGGTTGGTCTCTTTAAAGAAGGTGGGAAAATAATCTTGAAGATATAGTTATTGTGTTGTTGGATAATTAAGATGTCCTACCAAGTTGTTTCTGTGAAAGTATAGATTTCAGTAAAGATTCAAAGGTGAGTTAAGTTCTAAAGTTACTCCCATTATTTGAGTAAGGCCTTACTCTAATGCGAAGACTTGTTTTGAAAGCATGCTTGTATCCATTTTGTAACTCACTCATTCTTTTCCAGTATGGTCTATATTCTTCCTTGACAATCTGGTGTGCTGCAGTGATTGATGAGGCCTAGTTTGTTACAGTAAGAACAATCAAAAGGACCATTCTGAATTACACAAAACATTCATCCAGTCTAGCATATAGGAAAGGCCATGTGTTCAGGCAGTCCTTCACTTACAACAGTTAATTTAGTGATCATTCAAAGTTACAATGGCACTGAAAAAAGCGACTTATGACCATTTTTCACACTGATGACCATTGCAGCACCCCATTGGACACATCATCAAGATTTGGATGCTTGGCAACCAGTTCATATTTATCACGGTTGCAATGCCCCGGGGTCATGTGATCAACTTTTGCGTGCTTCTGACAAGCAAAGTCAGTGGGGAAGCCAGTTTCACTTAACAACCATATTCATAACTTAACATCTGTGAATCAACTTAACAACTGCAGTGATTCACTTAACAATGGCAAGAAAGCTCGTAAAATGGGGCAAAACTCACTTAACAAATGTTTCACTTAGCAACATAAATTTTGGACTCAATCGTGGTTGTATGTCGAGGACTACCTGTATTACCTTCTTTTCTTTCAGAGTCCATAACGCCCAGTTCTAGATACCTTTCTAATGTAGTGTATATATAGTATGTTGAAAGGATACTGTACAATGTATAGTATATATTGTAAATTCAGGATGGCTATTTGGTAGTTCTTACATCCTAAGCTGAATCTGTGCATTGACAAATCCTGCTTATTTGCCTGAATAAATTTAACAATTTTTTGGACATGTCTGCTTGTGAATGAGGTTGCAGTTCGGCGGAAGTTAAAGATATTCTGAACTTAACTAATTTTGAATTTTGATTTGTTACAGCTAGGAAAGCTTGCTACCTAAAGGGTAAGATGTGGTTAGTTTTAATGATTAAATTATCCAAGCCTAGTTCAGGAAGATTAGTTTCAGGATGCTGCTGGTGTGACTGCTGCACAGAGCTTCAAGGGGCATCTTTTAATCTTTTTTTGGGAGGGGGGAATCACTGCATGAAACTATTTTTTCCACTAATCCATGTTATCCAATTTTATAATGGAGCAAATAATTTTTGAAGTGGCATTTCTCAGATTGTAGCTTAACTGGATGAAATGTAACTGTTTTAACAAGCAAGTTTATGGCAAACTGCCTCGAAGATAATTTCATATAAAAGCAATATGTTACAAAAATCTGTAATAAGGGAAAGGGGAAAAGAAATACAAGATCTTAAATTTTGAGTCTGCTTTTCAGCAGTTCTTATCTATGTGGGAAAAGGCATGGAAACTAAATAGCTGTCATATAAATTAGACTTCAAATTAATGAGAAATTGAGCAAACGACTTTTAAAAGTAGTTTTTATTCTAAAATGCATTTATGTATTAGTAACTGAATATGGAATAATATAGTTTTTTTCCTTTGAACTAGATGAGTGATTCTTTTTGTTTTTAGCTCATGCAATACTTAAACTTCTCTCTCTCTCTCTCTCTCTCTCTCTCTCTCTCTCTCTCTCTCTCTCTCTCTCTCTCTCTCTCTCTCTCATATACACACCTCTATTGTCTGTCTATCTATTTATTTATGTACCTACCTACCTATCTACCTACCTTCAAGGAATAAGAATAGGAATAGGGAATTAGGGAATGGAGTAGGGAAATCCAACGGAATGGAATGGGATGAGATGGGGCGTGATGGGATGAGATAGGATGGGACGGGACAAGACGAGATGAGACGTGATGGGACAGGATGGAATGGAATGGGATGGGTTGGAATCACAGGGCTGGAAGGAACTTTGGAGGTCTGCTAACCCAAGGCAGGAGTCCTTATACTGTCTTTAACAAATGGATGTCCAATCTTTTCTTGAAAACCTCCAGTGATGGAGCGCTCACAATTCTAGAAGGCAATTTATTCCATTGGTTAATTGCTCTCACTATCAGGAAATTTCTCCTTAGTTCCAGGTAGGATGTCTCTTTAATGAGCTTTCACCCATTGCTTCTTGTTCTGCTGTCAGGTGCTTTAGAGTATGTCAACCCTTTAATCTCTGTGATTTCCCCCTCATGTACCAAAAGACAATCATCATGTCACCCCTAATCCTTCTCTTCATTAGACTAAATATGCCTAGTTCCCTTAACTGTTCATCGTACGAGTCAGACCTCTTATCATCTTTCTTGCTTTTCTCTGCACTCATTCTAGAGTCCCAGCATCTTTTTTGTATTATGACTAGAATTGGATGACGTTTCCAACTATTGCTCCACCAATACAATACAGAGTAGTATTATCATGTCTCATGATTTTGATGCTCTCCCTGTGTTGATGTAGCCTAGGACTGCACTGGCACCTTCAACACACTGCTGCCCTGTTTTCGCTGGCAGAGTGCTGCAGGAGGCTGTCCAGGCTGAAAACGGGGCTTAGGGGGCCACATGTGGTCCTCCCGTACCCCATTTTCACTAGCAGAGGCCCCACAGGCCAGTCCTTTTCTATTTCCAGGCCAGTCCCATGGACCAGATCTAAGCATCCCACAGGCCGAATCCAGCCTAGGGGCCTTGAGTTTGACACCCCTTGGGCCCAAGACAGGACATTGAGGTATCCCACTTAATGCTTTTCTTAATGTAGATGTAGTTTCATTGAGGGCTACCCACTAAGTGTCAGGTTCCAAGTAATGCACCCATCACAAATCGAACTCCAAGTGTTGTGACCTAGGCCCAAGTACCATATTTTTTGAAGTATAAGACACACTGGAGTATAAGACATACCTACTTTTTTTGGTGAGGAAAAGAAGAAAAAGAAATCTCCCTCTGTCTCTGTCTCTGAGCAATTTTGCCTCGTTGCAGCAAACAGCAAACAGCCTGGTTTACTTTCATTTTTATTTTCAGCATAGCTTGATTAGCACAAGGAAAAAAAAAACTGCTCCAGCAATTTACCTCTTTGCAGCAAGCAGCAGAGCCCTGCCCAAAACAGCTGAGAGCAAATCAGGTAAGAGTTGGGAGGCCGATCTAATCAACTTGTGCTAATTAGGCTGTGCTGAAGCTGAAAGCTGTTTTTTCTTGCTGTTTGCTTGCAAGGAGGTAACTGCTGTGAGGCAGAGGCCAAAGGATGGGGGCCAGTGGGTGGGTGGGGCTACATTCAGTGTATAAGACGCACCTAAATTTTCACCCCCTTTTAGGGGGAAAAAAGATATGTCTTTTACTCCGAAAAATGATAGTTATTACCAGATACAATCAATCCTAAACAAACATATTTTATTAGAACAGCTGAGAATTACTTCATTCTCAGCTTAGTCCAAATTAATTCCAAAACAAATTCTTCATAAACAGTCCTTTGGCCTTATCACCAACCTTTGTATTCTTTGGCACCCTGCGAAAGTC